CTAAATTCTAGTTGTCTCCAAAGGGTGAGCTTTTCTGACGCTCATTTGGAGGCCCATATTTAAAGTGTGTACACCCAAAAATAATCCCTGACTTTTTATCTGAAATTCATGAGGGAAGCTGCGGTGCTCATACTGGTGGAAGATCTCTGGCTCATTGAGCCATCTCCTAGGGTTTTTGGTAGCCATACATGCAGAAAGATGGTTAATAGTTTGTTAGGCAGTGTCAGAAGTGTCAGAAATTCTCGTCAATATTGAGAAAATCATCCCAGGAACTGTTTCCATTGGCGAGCCCGTGGACATTTACGCAATGGGAGCTAGACATAGTGGGACCTTTCCCTCAGGTCTCTGGCAATAAGCAGTACCTTCTAGTTGCGACTGATTATTTCACGAAGTGGGTGGAAGCCGAGCCCCTAGCCAACATCAAAGACGCTGATACAAGGAAGTTCGTCTGGGGGAACATCATCACGAGATTTGGAATCCCACATATGTTTGTTTCTGATAACGAAACACAGTTCGATAGTGGTCTCTTCAAAACTTTTTGCCAGCAGTATGAAATTCGGAACCATTATTTAACCCCGGCTTATCCTCAAAGTAATGGACGAGTAGAGATTTCCAACAAAACGATATTGGATGGTATTAAGAAGAAACTGGAGGAAGCCAATGGAAGATGGGTTGAGGAGTTATTGAGTGTTCTATGGGCGTACCGAACCACACCTCGGCAATCAACCAGAGAAACCTCATTCGCTCTAGCATATGGGATGGAGACAGTAATTCCGTTAGAGATCAGCTTACCAACCCTGAGAACCAAGCTGGTAAAAAGCAATAGTATGATGTTATCACATGAGATCTTGATTTGGTAAAGGAAAAAAGAGAACAAGCAGCAATAAGGATGGCATCTTATCGGCAGCAAATGTACCGAGCTTATAACAAGAAAGTGAATCTGCAGTGTTTTGCACTAGGGGACTTGGTCCTCAGACGTGTACTAGGATCGGCTAAGAACCCAACACATCGAAAGCTCGGAGCAAACTAGGAGGGTCCATACATAATAACTTGAGTAGGGGGTAGTGGGTATTATGAGCTCGAAACCCTGGACCATAAAACAGTGCCACGCCCCAGAACTCAGCTAACTTAAGAAAGCTCTATTTCTAAAAAGTACCTTTTTAAATAGAACTCTAAAGTGTCTTTGGAAACTTAAGGGTGCCCCTTAAGAGTCAATAAGTGATTAGCAAATGTACCGAACTAAAATCATTAATAAAGATTTTTGAAGATACATCTCTTTATTCTCGCTCTTCTTTTCTTATTATATACGTCCTACTGCTAAGGCAATGAGGCAAAAAATCTTGATATAAGTTACAGGCTTAAATCAGGCGCAGCCACCCGATCTGATCCAAGCTCTCAGTTAGGCATGACGATGCAAGCTGATTAGGGATGAATTTGAGTCCAATCATATTGGCGGGTCGGTGTGGGGTAGAAACTCTCTTAGATACCCAAGAGGACTATGAGTAACTTTATCAGGAGACCGAGCTCTTTGAAGAAAGGCCGAGCAAGGGCCATAACTTCGAGAGTTTTAAAAAAAAATTCTAAGTATCAAGTTCCTATTGAGGAACTGAGCTCTTTGAAGAAAGGCCGAGCAAAGGCCATAACTTCAAGAGTCTCAAAAAATTTTCTAAGTATGAGGTCCCTGTTGAGGGGCCGAGCTCTTTGAAGAAAGGTCGAGCAAGGACCATAACTTCGAGAGTTTTAAAAAAAATTCTAAGTATCAGGTCCCTGTTGAGGAACTGAGCTCTTTGAAGAAATACCAAGCTCCTTGGAGAAAGACTGAGCAAGGACCATAACTTCGAGAGTTTTAAAAATATCTAACGTTTATGTTGAGGAGACAAACAAAGGCCGAAAGTTGAATAAAGGTTTTAAACTCCGGAAATCAAGTTTTTCTAAACATACAAAGTGAATTACAGAAACAGAAGTGTTGATTTTCATGTCAAACTTCAAAAAAAGGTACACAAAGATCTTTAAGCATATATACATCAAAAGTTGCAAAAGATCTTCTAAGTATTTCAAGATGCTGGAGGTTGGAAAGAGCTAGGAAAAGAATGTCTAGAAAAAAGTTCAGAAGAAAGAGGAATTCTAGCAGCAATAAAGCGGCATGCCAACCCTTGTTGAAATAAGCATCTCAGAGTTGAGGGATCTGCAAAGCCAGATCATTCTCTACCTTTTTAATTCCCTCGTCATATGCAGCATCCTCCCTCTCCTTTGCCTCAGCTTTGTATTGTTTAAACTCCTCCAAAAGACTTGTGTAATCAAGCTGGGCTTGAGAGAGTTCTACATTCACCTCGTGTTTGGAATCTTTTAGTAGCCTAATCTAGGTCTGAAGCTTCTGGTTCTCCTCGGTCAAGCTTTGATTTTGAGCCCGCAGAACCTTAGCTTCTTCACAGAGATTGGCACACTCTTCATCTAGAGATTCTTTCTTGGCCAGGGCTGAAGCTCGGGCGTGGATAGCATCCTTCATAGCCTTATCTTTTCTTGTTATCCTAGCTCTAACCTCATGAAATTTTTGCAAACCCTTGGTTGAAAAAAAAATGACTTAGACAAAATTTTGAAAAAAGAGGGGAAGGCATAAAAGAGTTGGTAGAAGGGGAACAAGTCTTACCAAAACCAATTGCTGAATAACTTGACGACACACTTCGTCATCTGTCAAAGCCTTATTCATAGCCAAATCCCGAGGCAAAATTACTCCCCGAGCAATTCCCACTACAACATTAAAATTTTCGATTGCAGAATTTTCACAGTGATCTCTTTCCTTTTTGCCCTAAGGACTGGTCAAAAAGGGGGATTGACATGCTTGGGAGAAGGATTGCCTTAGACTCAGCAGTTTTTTGTCTTTTTGGGGCTGGGTCTTCAAAAAATTCAAAAATTGAGTCATCTTTATAATCAAGAGAGCGAACATAAGTAACAGGGTCCAAATCTACAGGAAATGAAGTTTCAGCGGCCCAAGCCAAGTCTGTCGGATCATCAACAGGCGGAATTGCATCATTGGGCTCAAGAAGAACAAATTCGACAGGGACCTCGGCTGTAGGCTCCACCTCATGAATAGAAATTAAAAGCACAAAAGTTTTTGGTATTGTCAGTTCGGTGGGCATGGTCGGCTCAACCGTTGATAAGAAATCTAGAAAATTCTTCACAACCCTCTGTCCAGAACTGGTAGGCAAGGCTCATTTGTGGGCTCGGGGTGTTTGTTCTCGAATAGTTTGGATGGTTTCTCTATCCTCAACTAGTGTGGCATTGCGACCATTCGGTACGACAATAAAAGACGTGTAGATCGGGGTATAGCCGAGCAGGGTATGGGCAGCCCGATAGAACAAGGACTCATTGTAGCCTCAAACTCTTCTAAGTTCGTCAAAGACTCAAGGATTTTGTCCTTCATAGTCTCACCTTCAAACAAAGGAGAACTTGTACTAGAAAATAGTAAGCAAACAAGCTAATTTGGAAGAGTAAAAAATTTTAATACCTAGAACGCCTTCTTTGTAAGGGCAACAATAGGAGGACGCGGCACTAGCAACATATTCTCAATTCCCAGAAACAAAAACAATGTCATTTTCATGACCTTTGTTAGAATCAAGAAGATGAGTGACCAGATATCGGTACTTCTTCCTCGCCGCCAGATAATAGTTGTCTCTAGTGGGTTTGATGATGTAGCAGAAAAGAATCTCCCATAAACCGAGATTCAAGCCCAGAAGCTTGTTCAAAGCAACTATCCCCATCACAATCATGAAGAAGTTGGGGCAGCATTGGATGGGGCAGAGTTTTGTTGCAGAAAGCACCCATAGAAGGAGAGGGTCCAGAGGGAATCGAACTCCACCTTCGGTGATCGCTTGAGTATGAATGGGGATATTCTCTCTCGTGCCTATCAGAGGTTCATCCTTTCCAGCAACTCTTACATCAACATCATCTGGAATATCGTACTTAATTTTGAAGGCTGAAATTTCTGAGGTCGTAAGAGGGGCCATCAAGGAAGGTGAAGTGCAGAAAGAGAGAAGGATGGTGCAGATACAGAGAAAGATGAGTCTGAAGATGAGAAGGCAAAGTGATGGAAGAACGAAGAGAATTGCTTATAAATGGAGGGAATTCCTAAAGGTTATTTAAATATTAAGCATGCCGCCAAAACAAAAAGGGGGGACGTCACAAGTACACACAATGACGATGAAAAAGCATAAAACGGCTGACAGACGAAAGGTGTCTGTCAGATGTTTTCTGGGGAGAAATGAAGGGGGTGGCCCCCTTTATTACACATGTTATGATATTAAATAAATCCACGTGAGAATGACAAGATAAGGCATGTGAGAAAGACATCAGTCACTCAATCAATAGACCTAGCCGAATTGATCAATGAGTTCAGCAATTAATGAAAGAGCTCGGCTCTTACCGAACCATGTTGTTCAATATGTTCAGTGAGCAATGAGAGATTTCAGTTCTTATCGAGACCGAGCTGATTGATTGAAACAGTAAATGGAAAGATAAGGATATGCCATTAACTCAGACATTTTGGCTAAACAAATCAACGAAATTATTGGTCTGGCAGGAGGAATTGTTTGAGAGATATCAGCAACTTCCCAAATTAAATCGCTTAATTAAGGGAAGGTGTGTCACCATCAAACGACAATTATGGAAACCCTAAACTAAACAGGGGTCTATAAAATGTATAAGGAGTCATGGTGAAAAATACGCTGAACTCTCCTTGTCAATTGGCATTTCAATCAGTTCCATTACTGACTTAAGTATCGGAGTACTTTCAATCGAAGCACTTTAATTTTAGACAATTTGCTCATTTCGCAGGAGGAAAAGATTGAGAGATCAAGTCTAGCAAGACCCCTTTTCCCAAAAATACCAAATCTTATTCTATTGAGGAGTAATTTCACTTTTCGCCTCTTACATTAACCTATTAAGCAAATTGATCTTTCATGGCCTGTTTTATCTATTGCTTTGACATGTACTGGGTATGCCCCATGCTGGTTATTGTAAGAGTCATTCCCTTTACTTGCACGCTTTTTGATGAATTGAAATTTTTTTACCTTCCAAAGAAAGTACTGGAGCAGGTAGAAACAAATGTTTCACCTCCTGAGGTGACTGAAATGACTGGCCCAGATGTCATGGAAGAGAAATGTGGCTCCGCTGCCATTCGTTTTGTTGCCTACTTCTCTGACATTTTCGACTCCAAGGTAGAGGGAAGAAACAAGTATCTCGAATTGTTATTATCAGTTGCAGAGAAGTTCAAAAAGAGTCCTTACAGCTATGTTTGGGCGGCTGCAGGTAAACAGCCAGATCTTGAAAATCACGTAGGTGTTGGTGGATATGGGTATCCAGCTTTGGTAGCCATGAATGTGAAGAAAGGAGCATACACGTCACTTCGAAGTGCATTCGAGCGTGACCAGATTGTAGAATTTGTAAAAGAAGCTGAATATGGAGGGAAGGGCAATCTGCCTCTAGAGGAACCCCTGTGATTGTGAAGACTGAACCCTGGGACGGTAAAGACGGACAAATCATTGAAGAAGATGAATTCTCCCTCGAAGAACTCATGGAGCAAGAAAATGCAAACAAGGATGAGTTATAATCTTTTGAAAGTGTAGCTGCACTAAAGAGAAAAAGGAATGAGCATTTGAAGTTAGAGCATTGCGAGAGTCATTTGGACCACTTGATAGTTATTGTGTACTAAAACAACTTCTTCGTTATTGAAAGATTTTGTTGCAAATAACTAATCTTTTCATGTTAAAGAAAAAAAAGGGGATTCTAGTTTCCTATTTGGTTTAGGGTTTCTACTTATTATAAACTCTTGTAAGCCTTAAGGAAGAACTGATTATTGAATACAATTGAGATAGTTGTCTCTTTTCTTCTCAATCTTTCTGATATTCTTAGGAATCAATAGTTTATTAAAGCCTTTAGGATTGATATTTTCTTGTGAATCAATAGGCCTAAAGTAGAAATCTATATCAGTATTTGTGTACAAATCAATGATTTATTTTTATTATCTCTTTTCGTTCATTAAACCTTTATTTCTACTCGTCTCCCGACATCAGTTGGTATCAAAGCTCAATTACGTTAATGTCACTATGCCGCCAAAAAGACAACCTAAAGAACTCTACGGAACCGAGATCAACACGAGAGACACAAGGATGCAACAACAATTTGAAGGGTTAATCCAGCAAGTAGCGACCTTAACTGCCATTGTTCGACAACAAGTACAACAACAATAGTCGTAGCAACCGCAGAGGCGACCCTAAAATCCACGATGGGTGGAGGAGGAGGAAGAGAGTTTGGTGGAGGTGGATGAGATCCCAAAGGAGATTCGAGTTTTTAACACAAACTCAAAAGAGGTATTTTTTGATAGCAAATCATCTTATGTTGATTGGAATTATCTCAAGGCACAACAATTTTTGATTATTGAATACAATTGAGAGAGTTATCTCTTTTTTTCCAATCTTTCTGGTATTCTAAAGAATCAATACATTTATTGAAGCTTTTAGGATGAGTATTCTCTTATGAATCAACAAGCCTATAGTAGGAATCTAAATCAGTATTTGTACACAAATTAATGATTTATTTTCATTCCTTTTTTGTTCATTAAACCCTTATTTATACCCACTTCTCTGCATCACAAATCCCACAAAATTCTTCCTCTACTGTTAATCATGGGAATTGCACGGGGAAAAATGTATGCAATTGTTGAAAAGCCGAAGCCCACCTGTAGTCTTCGAATATCATCCTATCCACGAGTTGCAAAATCACCAAAAGATTAGAAAGACCCCCAGCGTTGAGCAGGAGGAAATCCCTCCAGTACATAAGTCAGTAATGCTATCAATACGTGAAAAAGAGAATATGTATAAAGCAAGAAAAATGACAAGCGTGTGTGTGTGAAGTATGGAGCTGAAATGCTCATACTCGAGCCCCCATTACTGTTGGGGTTTCACCCATATTTATAGAAGAATATAGAGTAATAAACTGATCCCATTTATAATCTAACAAAAGTACTCCATCGCCACATAACTTCAAGAAGACTAAAAAGTTATGTGGCGATGGTGCACTTTTGTTAGACTTCAAGAAGGCTAGTTTTCATAGCTTCTAATAAACTCCCATAAGTCTAAGACTTCTAAATAATAAAAATAATTATAGAAGTCTAAATATTAAGAAATAACTAGAGCACTAGATTGGTTTAATCTCAATCTCCAACATATATAGGATCATCCGTGTATTCTTATGCTTTAAATCTGAGAGTTGAGATGTTACCGAAGACAGTCTTGGTTGGGTGCACGGTGATTTGGTTTTCGGCATCGGTGTTGATCGCTGCATGTTCAATTTTTTTGGCCACTGTATGTGATACGAGATGAAGGAAATTACGTGTGATTGGAGAGTCAAAGGGAGTGAGTTGCCAAAGATAGTATATCGGTGCTGGTTGGGTTCCTTAGGGTCCGTTTGATTAGAAAGAAAAAAATGAGAAAAAATAAAAATGATAGAGAGTAAAGTAAAAGAAAAGAAAATGAAAGAAAATATATGTTCATGTATGTATTTGGTTTGCATGAAAAAATTGTGAGAAAATTTTTAAAAAATTTCGAAAGAAAATAAAGTTAAAAGATTTTTTTAATTGTCTAAATTACCCTTAAATATATTAAATCAATCTAAATAAGTAAAAAATATTTATTATAATTAAAAATTTAAAAATTTAAAAAAAGTGGCTCCTAACCTAATTCTGGAACATGCACCAGAACCAAGTTCTCAAAACTAAATTATATGGTTAATAAAATTTATACTAAGATTTTTTAAAATTAATAATTAATAAAATATTTTAATAAAAATAAGGATAACATTGAAAGTTAATTAAAGATCACAACTTTCTTGCATTTTCTTATATTTTTTACAAGAAAAAAAAGTAGGTTAGTTGTGAGAAAATCTAAGTATGGAAGAAAATTCTTTTTTCTATCATTTTTTATTTCATGTTAACTAAATACATAAAAAATTTTTAAAATTTTCTCTTTCTTTTATTTTCTATCATTATCTCTCTAAACAAACGGACCTTGGTGAATTGCCGGAGACGTGTCTCGAAATGAGGCAAAGCTTTATGGCAGAGGAATGAATGGACGGTAAGGGGAAAGAGACAAACAGAGTAAGAGAACTAAAGAATTGGGAGAACGAAGAGTCAGAATAGAAGTAAATTAGCTAACAAAATTTTAATGAGGTGGCAAATCCATGTCAGATACCATCTCATTAAGTCTCCATTGTGTGTTCCCCATTTTATGTCCCCATTGTATGTTCTAATAGCATTACTTTATTATGAATTCAGGTTTTTGGATTGGGTGAATATATTATTAGTTGTCGAGACTGTTGAGCATAAATGATAGCAATGTGATTACCGAGACTACTAGATATAAACAATAGTGATGTGATTATCAAGACTGTCAGGCATAAACAACATTGATATGATTGCACATCACCACCAGGAAGAAACGAGTTGTCATTAAATATATATAATAAAGTGGAGCCGAGTTTGAATTTTGAGACAAAGACAGATCCAGATCGTTTTGAGATAAAACATAAACACATTCAATAAACAATGTAATCTCAACATAAAATACGTTTCAGATCATCTCAAAAATTTTGATCTAATAGTTTATAGTAAGTACTGAATTTTATTTTTCCGTCCAATAACATTTCCTAACTCACGCCTCTCTCTCTCCTCCGAAATCTATCAAATCTTCTCCAATCTCAGTTCTGCCTCTCTTTCCCAATCTCTCTCGCCTCTATCCCTGCCTTCCAAACTCATCCCCAAAATCTCTTATGAATATCTGCAATCTGACCTCCCTTATAATCTCCACATTGTCTGCCCTAAACGTCTCCCCCCCTCCTTTATTTTTGCATTCCATACATATCCTCCCTCTTATCCCTCCCCTACCCCTCTTCTTTTCCACTATTCTATAACGTCAAATACAAAGTCCTCGCCCACCTTCTATTCCCAGCGATCGCAATGTCACCACTATTCCCATCTATCAACCGTCATCGCCAACAACAAATGGAATGCCAGCCAACAGCCAGCGTCGACTAGGCATGTCTTCCTCTTTCTCTTCTTCCCCTATCTCTATTCCTATCCTTCCTCTACCATCCTCTCTCTCTCTCTCTTTAACACTCCACCTAGCCTTACCATAGCCACATCGTCTCCACAACCCAACCCCATAGCCCGATCTCCCCCTGCCATCACCATCGTATCCCATCATAGGCTCAACATCTTTCCTCCCCAACCACTACCAACCAAATCACTGTCGCAACCACTACCACATCTTTTGTCATTGCCACTGCATAACCTCCATCCCTTTTTTCCTCTCCACAATCACAACTGTGGCCCTATGGATGTTCAATGAAATGTCTCAATAACTGACTTATATCTATTTTTTTTAATTTCTCTCTTTGGATTTCATTAGATGGTTCAATGATAAACATTTTGGATATGAATTTCAGTAGTGTTGTTTTCAAGAAATTTTTTTTTGTCAACACTACGACATCTCCCCCTCTATCTCTCCATGATCTACCATCACCACAAACCCACACCACTATCACAGTAACTATATCATTTTCTTCGACCTTTACTTCACCATCTAAAAAAGTCAAGACATCAACGAAATTGGCATTATCAGAGACCTTGACTCACTGAAGGAATCTAGATGTCGTTTATTTGTTTCTTCTTATTTTTCCAATTTTATGTGACGAATACTCTATGTGCAATACGATGTGTATTTGTGTCTGTTCTATGCATCTACAAATACTCTGTGTGCAATTGATCTTTCTATGTTTGCACATGTGTGATTTTTCTCGGTGTGCACATTTGTCGTGATTAGGGCTTTTGAGAATTAAATTCAGAAAGACGATTCGAGAGGAGATTCTTATGGCGAAAAAAAAAAACAAATTGATTTCATGAATGTGATTCTATTAAATTTGAGTAATTGGATATGTGCATTGTTTGTGAATTCACTGAAATGAAGTTTGTGTGTGCGTAATATGGTTTTTATGGTTTCTATAGATTGGGTCACACCAGTTTAAGGTGAGCAATGGGAATAGCATTTACACAGAAAATTTGATGTACTCTAAGCAAGGTTGGTTGAATTAGTGTTTGCTTTTGTAATGCATAATTTGTTAGTTTTCTTTGGTATGCAAGTTGTTCTTGGGTCATTGATTAGGATTGATAATTGGAACTACTTTTGAATCGTAGAATCACTTTGAATTGTTCCTGTTATTTTGAGGGCAACGAATCGATTTAGAAGAAACTGAAATTGTTGCTATTGTCACCAATTTATCTTACTTGGTTAAGATGGTTTTTAATTCGAGTGTGATCTCAAGGAGTTAAATATAGCACTATTTCAAATTTATGGAATTTATACGTAGTTTGAATTTTTGAACTAGGTTGTGAAGGAGTAGATAAAAAATTTTAATCGCGCTGTGCAGGAGTATGGTGTGAGTCAAAAATTTTGGCTTAAATGTTGGCCCCATGATTGTTCTCTTACAATTATATGTGTGTATAGTGATTTACGTGTCTCTAATGAGATCTGGATATTGGCGTCAAGATGTTTTAGGCACTTCATCTGTCGAAATCTTTAAGAGGCATTGAAATTTGAAAGCACTTTCTATGTTTTCATACTATCACTTCAAATTTCAAAATTAGGTGTCAAGTGTAAATTGTAACTTATATTGATTGACAGGCTCTTCATTTTAGCTTAGATTCATCTATAAAAAAATTCAAACACCTTTTTCCTCATTCACTCCCACAATGCATCACACAAATTGTTTAAACCACATGCAAAACATTTCGTGGAAAGCTCTAAAAATGATCATTTTTTAAAAAAATTTGTTTGATGGAAATGTTGTCATCGATAGATGCAAATACTAACATCAATTACCTTAATGTGATTTTTTTTATAGTTTATGGGATGGGAGAACCATTTTCTGCTTGGCCTTAATGACAACAAAATTTGCTCTTTCCTCGCTATTTAGCCTAGGCTTCAGGCCATTACTACAGGTTCTTTTCATGAAGGAATACATTGAATGTATGAACAAAATTTGTTTCTTTTTATTTTTCTAAGTTTATTTGTGTTATGTTATTGTTTATATTGAGGTTTATTTTTCTGACAATTGCAGGGATGATATATCTTTTATCGACCCCCACTTTTTAAATTTGATTTGCTGGTCTTTATCTTCTTTTTTTTTTTTGGCTAATTACCCCATTTTATGCAACCTATTAGGATTAAGGACTTCTATTTTCTGCTCATATGTAACGTTTTATTTTTATTCCTACTTGTTATGGTGTTGGTCGCCTTAAGTTCAAACCGTGCCTTCAGGCACGGGGTTACCCCTAGTATATATATATATATATATTAAAAATAAAAAATAGTAACATTCAAATACAAAAAAAAAATATCAATTAAACACAAAAAATAGTATCATTTAAAAATAAAAAATAATAATATTGTATATTAATATTTGAAAAAAATAATAGTAGTAACATACACAATAAAAAAATAGTAACATTGAATATTGATATTTCAAAAAAATAGTAATATTTAATATTAACATTAAAAACAAAAAATAGTAACATTCAAATACAAAAAATAGTGCACTTTAAACACAAAAAATAGTACCATTTAAAAACAAAAACATAATAACATTCAAAAATAAAAAATAGTAATATTGAATATTGATATTTTCGGAAAAATAGTAATATTCAATATTAACAATAACATGTTTATCAAAAAAAATAGTAACATATTCAATAAAAAATAATAACATGCACAAGCACAACAATTGTACCGGTACAACGTCGTCTTCTTCACAAAAATAAACAATCAATTAAATCGAGACCTAACAAACAACACAATAGCAGCAATATTAACAAACAATAATCACAGGACAACGCGCGACGATCCAAATATACGAATGTAAACAAATCCACTTTGTTCGGGGCCTTGGCCAAATCCGAATTAGTGCACAATTCTCATTTCGACAAAATCTAAGAATAATTTGGGTGGAATCAAAGCTCAGGGTGCATATTAATGGAATCAAGAGCTTTTTTGGTGGTTAGCTTCGGCAGCAACATCTTCGTTCATGGTGGAGAAGAAAAAACTTAGAATTGTTGGGGAACAACTAGAACAATGTAAATCATGAATTTGAATTTAAAACTTTATGGTCAAATCTTATGAGCATGAATTAAGGATAATATGAGTGTTTCTCTTTTAGAAAACGGAATTAAGGTCTAATACTATTGAAAGCGTGATACTGTATCTGACTGGTGAGCAATTTCGGGCCGTTTGCCATGAATTGAAACTTATTAAATCAAGTGCTTGTGAGATTGTGCAGTTGGGTATTTTAGACAAAGACCTTGATTGTGTTTTTAGGGAAGAAATATATATCAAGATTGTATTTGCGTGTGCTGTGATGTAAAAATCTGTGTGTTCATTTGTGGTTTTGTGAGTGTGCCAGTGTTTGAGAAAGAAAGAGAGACAAAGAGGGGTGATCTCGATTTGAGTGGGAAAGACCCATAGAGAGAGACAGAGAGAGTTGCAGATTAAAGCAGACAGGGGTTTGGGAGGGCGGAGATAAAGATGCAATCTGCGCGTGTGCATGTGTGTGCTTGAAGAGAGAGAGAAGAAAAAAAAGGAAGGGGAAAGATGTATGTCTGAACAACAATTTTGTATGGCTTCATCCACTTTTATAGAAGGAAAATATTCTGAAAGGATATTGACTCGTTCATCGCTCGTGAAAGAGCCCTCATTTTGCATCTTGAAAAGCAAGAATCCCAATAAAACTATAGGTTATAAATTTATGATTTCTATAGTTTTAGTAAATTTTGAAAAAGAAACATATTTAAAACTTTCGCCTAGGATCTTAATCTCTATCGAGTCGATGTTGTCTTGAGTTCATGAAGATAAACCTCATAATGTTCATGACCTATTTTCTTCGCCACATTGAGGAAATTGTAAAATGAGATCATACCTTGACATAATGATTAAATCGTTTTATTGTAAAGTATTTCATACTAAAAGATAAGATTACATGCATCTAATCTAAAAGACTGAATTTCTATTCAAGTAACAATATCTCGATTTTACAAAAAGATTAAGAAGATCATACAATATTATCCTATCCTGAGCTATTCCATGTTTGAATGAAATTTTGGATAAGGTGTGAATGCAATGTCTTAATATCAATCTCATTCAAGATGGAAAATTAATACATTATATTCAAGTTCAAAAAAATAAAAAAAAATCCCTAAATCATTATATGAACGTATAGCCTACAATGGATACTTTGGTAATTTGGACAGTAATACACACCAAGTCTCATTTGATACCATATATTGCATAACACTAATTTACATAAAGTCTAAAGCATCCGGCTGATACTAACGAAGTCATTAAAACTGAGTCGTACAATATGTTCTAAACTTGGTATCAAGTGAAAGCCAGAGTAATTTAGTCTTATCCGGGCCCTAGTACCCGAACCAAACACAGCCTAAAGGTAGGTAAAAATGGCTAACGTTGCCCCCACTTCCACACCAAGCTATCCGTACAAACTATTATTTCTGGCAATTGGCAACCATATGCTTACACTCAGACTTGCTTCATACAATGAACTTATCTTGGAGTTTGATAGTTGACTATTGTATTAGTGTAACTAATTTTATTTTTGAGAGGAGTAACTAATCACGTCAGGAGTCTCATAATTCCACAAGTGAAAGTCTATCAAGATAATCTCTAAACGCTCTTCTCTGCCCCATCTTTTTTTTGACCCCACAAAAAAAAAAAATTAAATAGATAACTTTTAAGAATTTTAGAGTACAATAAATCAAGTTCGATTAAACTTTGACTCTTTTACTAACTCATGAAACAGCTTTTTAGACCCAAAAAACTTATTTATACTAATTCAATAGGTTAATTTCATGAATTTTTCTTCTGACTTTTTGAGATTTTGTCGTAAATCCCACATAACTTTTTAGTTCATTACATTTATAAACATTATTAGTGCCGTAACAAAAATTAAAATTAATATTTTAAAAAGTATTATACATAATCTGTACATATATGTAATTATTTTTAAATTTTTTACACAAAAAAACTAAAAAAATTATAAAATCAACTTTTTAACTTTTTTAAAGAACACCCCTAACGATTGAAAAACTTTTTTAACTCTGACTTTTTTATAAAATTTTTCAAACAACTTTTCACCAAAAAAAGCAAACTCCAAACCGAACCAATAACCATTTCATGCAAGGCAAAACACATGTTTATATAAATACTTAGCAGCAACATGTTCATGCTTATATAAATGTGCTTACATAAACAAGCAACCTTTTGCTTTGGCTTTTCTAGTGCCCTCCATTAAGACTTACAAACAAAGGGGGAGAAACCAGAGGCAGCAGTCGGCCATATTTCAAGAAAAAGTGTCAAATCTTAGCATTAAGGCGATAGGCTTAAAGACTAACCAACAAGCAGATTAATGATGCACTATGGGCAATAGCCATTACATTTACTTCTCGTCAATTTCCAATATCATTCTCTATCATAATAGTTTCTAACTTACTTTTCAAGCTATGGTGCTCATATAACAACTAAGGTAGAGGGGGATATAAGTTTGAAAGTACGATAGAAGTAGAATAAAGTAATAAAACAACGATATGTTTGTACACAATTCCGTCTATCTGTGCGCAGACTTGATGACTTCTCCTTCAAAATGACAATCAGCATTTTGCATCCTGATCAAAATCACACAAAAATGGGCAGCAGAAGGGAAAAAGAAAACGCCAGTGTATAATTAATAATGGTCATGATGTTACAAAACCTGATCAAACAACAAGAGGCCTAGATAGGAAAACATAAGGACTAACCCTATACAAGGAAAGCAAGACACCCAACGTATATGGGGCAAGGACTCAATTATGTGGTGTTGTTCGTAAGAACCCCCCATCAAATAGCATTTCAAGTGTATCACTTCTGGGCAGTGGGGGGGGCATATGACCTTTTACTCATGTTTTTCCTTTATCCGCTGAGATACAAATCCCAAAAGACATCAAGAACAACATTCTCCTTTATCACGCTTATCAAGCAACAATTTGGCACATGGCCGTGTAACCATTCATCACTCATTTCGGATGGAACAATATTTTTCCCACAGCGTTTGGGATTTTGCTATTTCACTCGTGAGGTTCTTGAACTTATGACTGCACTCTCCTCCACTGCAAAAAGAGAAGGAAGGAATACATTATGCACTTGTGATGATTCCGTGATGTTTTCATGTGTTGGGTGTGTTCGTGCGTGTGTGGTTTTTTTTTTTTAGGGAGACCGGGGGGGGGGGCATTAACGGTTATAGAACCAATTCCTATAAGGATGAAACACATGAGATATAGAAGAATGGGCTTTTCTTTTTTCTTTAAAATTACATTGGTCAAGAGATATTTAAGCTGCATAGATTATTTGTATTGTGCCTACTATTATCAACCAAGGAAAAAAAAATAGAATGAGCATGAGGTAATAATTCTATATTGATCCGAATCGACTCATATATGCTCCCATTTTTAATAAGATTTCGGCTAGAAGCATACAAGTACTATAATGTACTTCTCCGTGAGTATCTGATAACCATGTAGGTAGGGGTATAATTAGTGATTTTACAGTGTGTGTGTGTGAGAGAGAGGACGCACACACATTCCCCAGCTTAAACAGCAATAAGAAAGATGTGCTGTCACAGAATGGATGAACCTATTTTATTTTTCTAACATACATATGGGCCAAAACTGTTACAGAACCAAAGTTCAGCTGTTAGTTCAACCATACTCGACCAGCATCCTGATTATATACTTATATCTATCTTTTGACCAAGTTCATCCTTTATAGCAATCTGCTGGGGGGACTGGAACAAAAATACGAGTGGCATATTAATCTAGGTGCCCAGCAACCCAAAATAAAAAAAAGTATGACCTCAGATGGTGACCAGAGTAGAAGAAAACAGTCAATGATAAAGACACACACCTGGACACATAAAGGCCCTTTACAGATGGGTAAGGAAAGGTATCAATGTTTTTCTATATGTTAGGGATATATTTGTATACCACTGGCTGACAGTACAAAGAACGGTACACGGTGATAAAAAACAAAAAGTAGCTTCACAAATCATTGACTTCCAATACAAAAGGGCAATTTTGTTTCCTCATAAGGTGTTGTCTCATTATCCTAGATACACCCAACTATTAACCTCCTGTATGGAAAGAAGCAACACCCAATATCATGTTAAAAATAGCTAGATAAACTCCACTCAGTATTATACATTGAAGGTTTCTAGCATTTCCACTTTCAGTTTTTAATGTTTTGTTGATGGTGCAATTCTACATCACACTAACTAGGAAGCACGGACACTCATTTTGGTTAGAGTGACGATGTCGAACAAGTCTAGGACATGGACAAGCTAAAATAAGTGTCTGATTTTTTGATTGTTAAACACGTTGGGTACACGCTTGAGGACACATTTTGAAATATTTTTTCAAATTTTTGAAAACTTATCTAACATAATTATAATTAAGGAAGTTACTTTTGTATTTTAAAGAAATATGAGTCAAATGCATAATGTAGAAAGAGCTATAATCATTATATGAACATAAGATATTATAACATAATTTCAGAAACAACTAAAAAATTATATACAAATGTAATACATTTTCAATATGAAAGCAATGTAATGAAAAATAGGTTAGGACATTGTGGCTCTTTGAAATTGATGAAAATTAGGGTTACTATTGGGGATATTTTTTAAATTGATTGTTGGATCATGAATATGATGAGTGTGTATTGGTATAAGTGGTATTGAATTTTTGATTTGATGATATCATGGTGTGACTTGTTAGAATTAAAGAAAGGATGAATTGATTGAATATCAAAGTATATTTATTTTATCACACACACACACATATATATATAATATAATATAAATAAATAAATACATAGTATTTAATGTGTCCCACTACATGTCCATGTCCTACATTTTTGAAAAAATCCGTGTCAGCGTGTCCATGTCGTACCCGTGTTTGTGCTTCTTAGCACACTAAGGTTGGGAACAGAACAAGGATAAAGCTAACACACTGAACCATCACTGTACTTTTTCCAAGGGATAAAAAATGCCTGCCTTATTTATTTCTGGAGTACAAATTAATAGACCAATGGAAGGACAACCAAGCTCATTAATTACATAATATGTATCCTACCCCCTCCCCCCCCCACCAAAAAAAAAGACAGTAACATTAGCATCTCAATTTTAGGCAACCTATGGAACTGACTTGAATCGACCAGAAAGTAGAAGAGAAGCATGCAAGGAAACAAAGCAGATGGCAAATATACCCAAGTTCTCATGACCCCTACATAGCTAGAATACGCCCAAAGTGGGCATTACAAGTATGGCTGATCTTCGCTAATTGGCATAGCCAGTTTCACCTCTGGAAAATCCTGAATTCCTTCAAATCTTAGATATTTATCCGGTAATCAGTATATATTGAGGCAGGCTAGACAAAACTACCATAACATGGAATGACATGCTTTCAAATCTTACAATATCCATGAAATGGACCCTCAGATCAGTTCACGTTCACATAATCAAATGGACATTTGCTATATGACATGTTTAAATGACATGAAGTGAATCGCATCCACATTGAGATAATACCCCAGTACTGATGTCCAAGTACTTATAATTTATTCAAAATCACTTGACACATTTTGTCCCTCCCAATACCCAAAACTTTGGGGAACAGGAGAAGACAGCGGTTTTTCTCTTGCACCGTGCCAGTGATACAAATTTCGCATAAAATACAATCAACATGTCCTTGCCATTCAGAACAGATTAATCCTGTCAGGGAATATAAATCCACATCCCTGAAAACAGTACGAAAGCCCAAGAAATGGATTCTTTTACCTAGGAGGGATTAGTCTACTAAGAGTAGAATGATATAATCATAAGCCTTTCTGTACACTTCCGTCATTCAATCAGGTTAATAAGGTTGATTTCCAGATATGATTTAAACAGACTTGAAAAAAACATAAAAAAGGAGAGCTTAAGAGTCACACCTGATGCGATTCAAAGAAGCAATTGCCCGAAGAGCACTCCGAATCATGTCTTCATTACGATCAACCTCTTGCTTAACAGCATCTTGTTTTGGCCTAAAATTAATAGTCTTCTGAAGAGGATCCACCAACGAGTCTAACACTGGAGGTTAAAGCAGCAAGTTATAATAAGATACAAAATTCGTAGCACCACTGAATGCCAAAATTAGTAAAATAAAAATGACAAACTAACCTGCCAATACAGCAGAGGGACACTTATCAGCAAGTTTTGAGAGGATAAGATGGCAAGGCATTTTAACATCATAATGATCTGGTAAAAACCATAAAGCAAATTAGTCAAAAAATCTACTCTACTCCATAACCAAAATAAATGTCAGAAAGGTTATTGGACTCAATAGCCACTATGAATGGAAGGAGCATAATAATAATGTCACCGACCTAATGTTTGAGCCATAACAAGTTATACTAGACCACTGGTATGAAATATGATATCAGAAATTAACAGAGGAAGAAAAGAAGATGGTATTGAGATCACGACTCACCATCAAGACCAGATTTAAGGTAAGGAACAATGAAAGATGAAGGGTTCACTTGATTAAGGCAACTGTCTAACAATGTGTCTACACATTCAAAGGCAGCTTTCCTCAACTCCAGTCCATCGTCCACTGTGTGCTTGAAAGGACCAAGATCGACTGTTCTTATCAATTCTTGCTGTAAAAGATATAAAGCAGAAACATGTAATCACTAAGGACCAAATACTGATGAAAAAAACAATAGAAAGCAAATTAAAGAAACAATGTCAACAGTAAAAATCAAAAGCAACTGTACTTTTGGGTTCCCTATGAAACTTCAAGATCTTTCTTATAAGATGTTCAACACTCAACAGGAAGAAATCTAAGAATCTCCAATAATGAACTATCAGAGGATGTTTTTGCCGAAAAAAATTCAAAAGTATTCTTAGTCACTATCTTTGTCAGTATAAAAACCTCCTCAAGAATTAATTAACAGCAAAGACATGTTCTCCAGGGGAGGAAATTGGTTAACCATGGAAAGGCATAACACTTTAAGAAAACGACAGTCAGCTCATGATTTGATGCAACCTTTTTTCGTTTCTTATCTTTCAACCTCACATTTGCATATTGCTTCATTGGGTTATTAGGGGTAGAGACTGAGAGGAAAGTGTTAGTTGGGTATGTACATACACGATGCCGATATAGCAGCTTACAAGCAGGCTAAATTGAGTTATTATCTGAAGCTTTTCTTTTTTGGGTAGTCACCAGCTTGGACAAATAGTGTGAGGCTTGGATCTAAGATGTGCCGAAATTTTTTAACATGATTAAAATCTGTTAAAATACTAATCCAAAAAAGTATCATTCAAAGGTAGAGTCCGTCCTAGGCAACACATCAGAGATTGCAGAACACAAACAGTTGGAAAGCTGAGCCACTTATAGAAGTCTGCTTTGAAAACTTTCTCCCAGAAAAATCTTTGAATGTATTTTAGGGCCTGCTAAATATACAACCATTTTTGCTTATTCCACAAAACTTGTAATTACCAAGAGCATAATAGTGCATTTCCTTCATTTAAAAAGTAGGAAAACACAGCAAATGGGGTGGGTCATTTTTTATTTTATTTTTTTGATCCAAGGAATGGGTAATTCAGTGCTACCTTTCTTCATCATTAGAAAGGAGGTCAGAAATTCTGACGATATGACATAACATCAAATATGGCTATTTATCAAGAGACTTACTAGTGCACAGTTACAGGTTCTCTTGCTCATTTCTGTGAAGATATGAGTGCATGTGTTCTACAGCTAGTTATCAGTGAGTTGCATCTGCCCTATAATTATCAATCCTAAACCAACAGAAGAATATCATGATAAGTGATGAAGGATTTAATGACAAGATACAATCCCCAACCCATAGATATATGCTGCACATTTATGCATTTCACATATAATAGATATTCCTCCAGACAGGAAATCTAGTTTTCTCAAGGATTATACAGACCAATCTCAAAACAAAGTTCCAGATAGAATACGATGCAATGGTCAAAAGTTACCTTCACAATTGTCTGGTCATAAAGAAGTGGTAATAATTCTGGAAGCAGGCTCTTTATGAGGTTTGGCTTATTATGAGCTGCCGTACTTAAGGCCAAGACAGCTGCACGCCTAACATGCTGCACAATAGTTAACAAAACAAAAGATAAGAAAATAGCTAAAATAGAAGAAGTCAAACAACTAAAGAATCCAAAGAGAGAATAAAAAACTCCCAACTGGAATACTCGTTACCACCAATTTATATGAAGCAATGTTGAAAACAATTAATTAAAGCTGTGCCATAGCTGGAATTTTAAAGCGTTATCAAGTTTAAGATTACCCGGTCGTGATCCTTGATAAGCATCAGGAATGATGAGATCTCAGGGTAAATAATCTCATCTATCTTTTCTGGTCGCTCAACTATAGCATATTTTACAGCAATGACAACAGTTGCTCTAGTGAATGCAGCCCGATTACTTGTTCGCTCCTACATAAACATATGCATTTATTTGTTTGCTCACACAAGAATATAAAATAGATGGAAAGCTACACAGAAAATAACAAGTAAATGTGACAAGAAGCACAATATCCCATCTCTATGGTCGATGACACCTTAAGTGCAGGAACAAGTTTGGCAGGTTCAATAAGGGCAATTTTTCCCAGACACTCAGCTACCACATTGCGAACACCTTCTTCCTCACTTTCACAATGGTTAAATAGCAAATTAAGTATCTTCTCCACACTAGAATCCTGAAACTCCGCGTTATCCACAGACTGTCTCACAATAACCTGCAAGGAAGAACAAATCGGGTGTGCGTGGGGTTTTAATGGTCAAGCAAATAACGATTGAGAATATAAAATCTCACTTTAAGGGGGGATCTGCAAGTCATAAAACTTACCTCCTTCAAAGAATGAAGCAGGAGATATTGTTTCTTCTGCTGATTATCAATCTGGTCCAAAATAAATGGCAAGTATTTTGATAGATTACCAACAGCAATATTTCCAAGAGCGTAAGAGGCAGCAGACTTTATCTCTTCAAAAGGAGATTGAAAGGATTCAATAACTATATTCTCTATATGTGCATGCGAGCTTAGATCTTTCCTTCTTCCAATCTCTCCCAAACAAAGCAAGGCAAGGTGCTGGGTAGCCTGAAAAGAAAGATAAAGGGAGTTATGAGAAGTAGTATCACATGGGGGGAACTAGGACAAAGGAATTGGAAACAATAAATGTGTTACCAAAAACCAAGAAAAAAACCTAAACAAGAACTATCATGGTGTCCCAAACCAAACCAAAAAAAAGTAGTTAGCATGTAACAAGTGCAAATCAAAATAGACATATGCCATGTATAAGTCCTTCAAGTGGAAAATGACCAAACACCCAGCTGAAGACGAATAATAAAGCAAACTTGAGATGATCAGCAAACGCCTGTCCACCTCTTCGCCACAATCCAGCTACATACCAGAACAAATACACCAAATATGTGCCATAGTTTGTCCATACACTGTGTTACCTAAAATATGTATGCAAGAACTACAAGAATCATATCGTCAGCAGGCCATGGCACTGCTAAACTATAATCAGCCAGGGTAAAATTTTGCAAGCAAAAGATAATTGAAAATAATTCACATTGTTCATATTCTAACCATTTTAAAGCCGAAGATTCTTCCCCTCTTCCGAAACCCCACCCCTACCACATACCACTCAACTAGGACTAAGGATAAAAATCTTGTTTCTCTTCCACCGAAAAGACCAAAGCATTTGGGTTTCGATGGAATTGAATTAATCAATGATGAATATAAAAACTCCTATGTTTTCAGAGTGTTTTGGAATATTTTGATTCCAATTTTTTTCTAATTTTTAATTGTTTCAAAAAATATTTCCATTTCAAACTGGCTAAGACTATACACCGAAATAAAAATTCTATCCTTGACTGGGACTTGAACTAGCTATTTTCCTCAGAAACAATAGGAAATCCCACTTGAGCTAGACAAGGTTTAGACAAAAAATTCAGTTTCTACTGAACACCAACAGATTACATCATAGCCTCCCAAACAATAACAAGTACGTGTAAAACTCAACTAGACAATGGGTGCGTTTAGATGAGGCACTTTTTGTGAAGGATTTCACTTTGGCCAGCGATTTCAAAATATATTGACTAGAATCTCTGGTTTGTCTACGTAAACCAATGCACTCATCAAAGTGAAAGACGACAAAGTTGTAAAAGGATGACAAAGATGAAAACCTTACCGAATTGGTACTGCTATCATCTTTTAGTATGTCTGTAAGCATTTTCACTGTAGATGAACATTTCTGATCACCTGCAGCAAGGCAGAGAACGGCTACACATTGAGCTATGGAAAACAAGGCCTGCTTTGCAACACCGCCAGATTGAGGAGATGGTTTAGCTGTTGAAATAAGAGAATCCAGCAGAGCATCAAAGCTTGTGTTTGCCGAGTAAACCAAGGCAGCAAAAAAGCTTTGTAGAGCCTGCAGTAAAAGGAGTTGGGCTTATTCTAAAGTGAACTTTCTGGATCAAAATTCAAAGGCCAATACGAAGTGAGGTCGTACCGAAAGAGCTTGCCCCTGAAGCAATGAGCTTCTTACTAAAGTTAGTGCTTGAGGAAGAACTTTATTTCTGACTGTCAAACCAACATTGGGGATTGACCTTCTGTCTGCCATCAAGGTACAGCAAAGTTCCAGCGCTAGAGCCGTCATATGCAAGTCTGAGTCACTAGTATGCGAACAAAGAGCAATACGATTAGGTCCAATAATCAGACTAGAAACCAAAGTAAATCATATCTGTGGCAGACCATGAGAAGATGCAAAAGAATTAATAAACAGGTGAGCAATAATCTAAGAAGTGTCAAAGCCAAATATGGAGATAGGAAGTAGAAAACCTTATCAGAGTAGAGAGCTCCACAATAATAACTTCATAAGCAGCTGAACCAATTTTATCCCCATAAGCAACAATTAGGGTATTCAGCGTCCCCAGTGTTGCCTGCCTCAAAGCTCGATTAGCCTGTTCTCCGAAAGAAGCCAAGCAGTTCAGATTTTTTTTTTTTAACTAGAAGGAAGATATTTCAGAATAATCTTCTTTGGAGATTATGCATTAGAAGGATTATAGTCTCTCATACCTTCCTTAAGAATGCGGTTAACTCTGCAATAACATGATCCAAAACACATGATAGGTCCAAGTGCAGTGGTGAAGCAGCAATGACAGCAAAAGCCTGCAAACAGAACTCTATGGTTTGAGAGAGAAATACACATCATACTTTCAATGAAACCTTTTTCAGTCTATCAAATGAAGACTAAATAAATGTAAAAACAAAGAAAAGAAAAACATCAACAACTATTCAATTTTTCCCCGTGCCAATGAAAAGAAAAAACAAACAATGTTTAGCACTGTGAAGAAGAGTTTTAACTGTTATCACCTAAGACATTGTAGAACCAAATTAACCTACCAATGCCAAAAAGGAAACCAATATGAAAACACTCCGAGGTGAAGATGTAATACAAGGATGGTCTTTTCCCAATGGTTATAGAAGTAAAAGATTATCAACAACAAATTAATAAGTTGCCCATTGCTTCTCCATTATCCATTCCATTTTCAGTAAGTAAATTGTTATCCGTGTTGGAGCATCTAACTCAAAACCAATGGACTATTAACAGAGAGGCCCCTAAACCATATAAAGAAACCTTGATGATCCTAATCATACAATGTATGGCAAAAGGTCTCTTTACAACATCCCTCACGTGGGACCCGGGCTAACACATGGGACTAACAAACAAACAACAAATATGCATAGCTGGAGATTTAAATGGGTAAAAGCTCCAATACCTTTTTTTTTTTTGAACTGCACTGATACCATGGTAGAGTATCCAACTCAAAACCAATTCGTAATCAGTGTAGAGACCCCTTAAACATATAACCAACCTTGGGTGGTCCTAACCATTTGATATGAGACACAAACTCTCTTTACATGCCCAATCCTCCAAATCGTTTATCCACCTAGGCAGAAGCACAAGTGGACAGCATATACAATGCAGATTAAATATTTTCTCAACGAGAAACAAAGCCTCATCAAATTTGTGACTCACTCATCAGTGTAAATCACAAAAAACTTTACATGACATTCAGATATCATTTGAGAAATTGCGTCAAATTTTTTGGTGCATTGCCACAATACTATGTTAAGTCATTTTGACCCCATTACTCATTTTCACAAGGTCATAACTCTCTTTCAAATCATCTGTGAAAAATTTGCAAAAAGTCAGTCTGGGAAATCAGTCTCAATATTTGAACAGTAAGTAGAAGAGAAAAAAAAAATTATTGATAAACAGAATGAACAATACGTCCACAGGAATAAAAAAGACACAACATTGCAGCTTTTGTCCTCTGCATCTATGATGTGAATAGATATTTGAAAAAAAGAACCTTGTTCACTCATTTAAGCATAAAAAGAGGACATGGTTTCAATTAAGACAGTCATGAAGACACAAAAAATAACAAAATTATGTCAGACATCAACACAATAGCAGACAATTATGTCAGATATGAAGATAAAAAAATCCCAAATATAAGAACGAAACTACAATGACAGCCCTTAATATCACGGTGTGTTTATGAAGACGATGACAACTATCTTCCCCAAGACAGAAATTTTCTACCCATATAACACACACGACCACCTATGAAACAGTTAGATAAGTAAAGCTGGACAATTGCACAACTCCATCATGTATAACTTTTGACGCTTTCAAAGTGGCAACCTCGTGCATTCACAAAGCAAGCCCCTAATGTGAGCCTTCTGAAACCAACCTTCACAGCTGTAAGTCGAGTTATCTCATTTCCCATTCGGTCCACAAGAACAGGAAGGCATGCATGTAATTCTGCTCCGAGGTTATCACCAAATGTTGACACGACAAGCCCCATGCAAGAAATAGCACACTCCTTCACCTCCTGGAAAGAGAGATCAATGTAAGACAGTGATAGTACTTACAAAGTTTCAGCATCTGGAAATTCTACAAACCTGATCTTGATCTTGATTCGTCAATCGAGCCATGATGGCATTATATATCGGATGTATGTAGGGTTTAAAGTCAAAACCATAACCCTAAAAATGAGTCATTAATGTGTCAGAAATGGATTGGATAATATCCAAATTTTTAAATAGTAAGATTAACCGACCTCAATATTTGGACGTACAACACGAATAAGCTCCCCACACACTCTTAATGACTCTGCTGTAACTTTATAATAACGCTCACCAACAGCAGCTATAACAGGACTAGAAATGGCCTGAAAGATCAGAATTAAATGAATGAACCAAGCTTTATATGCTACATATTATTGAAGTTCATATTAGCGGGGTGGAGGGAGGTGATTTTCAAAAGTTGGATTGCTTGAGAGTTTGTTCAGCCCTGTTCAGAATTTTTTTTTTTCCTTATAAGAACTGTTCAGAATATAATTGATGTATCTTCCTAGGAAATTCCTCATATTGCAAAGTTTCTAGCTCGTTTGAGGTTGCCTATTTTCCAAGAATTTGAATTCTATGATTTACTGCTCCAAATCTAATTACTGTTGTTCCCTTGGACTGTTTAAGATTAAGTTTATATGCAAATTGCCGAACTTTCAAAAAAAAATAAAAAATCTGTTTCAAATTACTGCACTAACTATTTGTTTTTGGAGGTTTTTACCCTTCAAAGAAGTTTCAGTGTTCATGAATAAGACAAAGTGAAACCAAAGAATAATGGAGAAATATCAGAAAAGCTTCATCGTTGAGAACTTGATATTCATCTTCATCTTTTTTTCTAGTTATATTTATCTCTAATTTGGAATTGGCAATTGTCTCAAAGGCAAGCAGCCTATTTTCCAGAAATCTAAAACAAACTGCTTACCGACCTCAAATCTTATCTATCCCAAATTCCCGATCCTATTTCAACTAAGAACTATTGGACCTCCCTTATACGTCCTCAAACACTGAAGCAGTAAGTTGTTCTCTAGATAATCCTGCTTAAACAGCCATTTCACCAGATTATGTGGGAAGCACAATTCTGCATTTCTCTAACCAGCTGACAGCAGATCTGCCATTACTGCAAAAATTCCGGCACTATTGGAAGGCCTTAGGGATGGTGTGGCTATGGAATTTATTGTTTCTGTATTGAGGGTGACTCCACAAGTTGTGGTTGATTGCAAGAGACCAAGAAGAGGATCAAAGCCTATAGTTAATATGCGAGAGAGATTGTTGATTTCATGGCTGTATAGTGGAGTAGATGGATCCCTAAGTCTGTCAATGGTCAAGCTAAAGGAGTGCCTAAAAGGCTAAAACCTAGGCAAGTGAGGAGTTATCTTTATCCTCTCCGGGAATTAAAGATTTTCGCCTAGGATGTTGGTTATTTATGTTTTCCTTTTCTGTTCAAGTGACTCTTGTTTGTTTTACTGGGGTTCAAGGAGTCCACATTCTTCTTTGACTTCCCACTCTTCCCTCCACTATATTTAGTTTTTTGGTTCTGGTTTCTAGTCCCCCTAAAAAAAAAAAGCGAAAAGATGCAATATAAAGAAAGATACTAAATGCATGAGCATTGTCCCGTATGAGGAAGATAAATAGATAAAAATGGGCAATGAATGTGAAGATTGTATGCATTCCCCTTCGCAAACAAAAATATACTCCTTGCCATATCTGGTTACTGGAAGGATAAGCAGAGTACAGTTAGCCACGCTTTAGACATGTTGTCTCTGGCTGCACTGTACAGCTGCTATGGAATCAATAAAGATAAACTAATTTTCCCACCTATGCACAACAATTCCATAACATTTTTTTACCTTGTTGGATGGGGTAGGGGTTTGCCGTAAGCACCAGGACATAGGATAGGAAAATCATTTTTGGTGTTTTCATTACCCTCACTTCAAGAGCTAAATGGGAAACAGATCATTTGAAATTAGACATTTGTTCCTTTGTAATCCTCTCAGGCCACCAAACACTGGAATAAGGTTATTTTTCACAGGACCATAAATCCTTCATTGTGAATGCAATCATCTTCATCAATGAAACACAGCCTTATCCACATGCACCTCTAAGCAAAAAAAGAGCAAGCTATTAAGTTAAGGAGCATCCTCGGTAATGTTCAAATCCCCGCCATTAGCCCTGCTGGTATTTTTAGATTTGTAGATGCAGCAACAGAACTTCATAATCTCATATGACGTGTCTTCAAGGCAGCATATGGACTACTCACAGTGAGCTCAGTTTGTTTAAAACAGTCATATAATGTGTCTAAATGTAAACGCTTCCAAAAAGTAAAAACATGATCTGTAGGGTTACCTTGATGTAAGGGTGGAAAACAGAAGGCGAATGTGAGGTTAAGACTAATCTTGTAAATATAAGAGCCTCAATCTTCAAATTTGAGGTAGAGGATTTGTCCTGGGAAAATTAGCAGGAATAAAAGGGAAATCACAACATAAGCATCACCAACAAAAATTAGAATTTTCTACGTACAATTACAACATGAAAAGTATATTACGTACACACAGTGCTTTTTCAATCCCTGGAATAAGAGACCCAATGTGGTCAGCAAGGCAGTCAGGCAAGACAACCACAAGCTCTTTCAGAACTGAAAAGGCACCAACCTGCAGAGAAAAGAAGAGAGAGATTGTGGAAGCTCAAATACTAATATCAAAAAATTAAAAAATTCACTGAATTTCTACCTTCGTCTTGATAGACTTCTCACGTAGCTGTCTATTTATAGATCTAACAACTTTGGGTACTTCTTGCTCCAATACCCATCTGGGACTGCAAGACATGCCAGTAACTTAGCATTGCAATTTACCAATCAATATCATACTAAATAAAACTGCTGATCAGGAAATGGTCTGCCCACAAGCAAGCACTCAAAAAGAGACCAGCTCCATGTATTTAAAGTGACCACTGGTTTAACAACATTATCTCCAAGATAAGGAGAACCTGTACCTGATTAAGGGAGACTAGAATCGCAGTGTCCATTTCACTTGATGTACCCATATGTCCATCTCAAGCATAACTATATATTATTGATCCAATGCTCTATATATTTTCAAGCTAAAAAAATGCCGACATAAGAAAGTTCACTTAACGTCCCTCACAGAAAGCATCTTATACATCGTTGAAATGCCATCATAGTACAGAAGAAGACACAACAATGTGAATAGATCATCTTAACCACTAACATACACAGCAAAGCTAATCACCATATAATGAATGACAATTTAAAACAGGAAACCGGATAGGGAACTCAACATTGGCATGTCAATAAACATAAGACAGGGATAAACTTGCCTTGATTCATTTACGTCAACCTGCCCTTTTGTGACGTTTCCTGTTTGACGCAGTAGCTCAATGAATGTATTGAATACATCCATCTGCAGCATAACAAATCAGTGATCAATCATGCAAGGGCTCCTAATGAATACTACTGGCACCATCTCAGATTTACCTTGACATTTTCTTCCCTTTCTTTAAATCTATCAATCAACTTTGGACAAGCCTGCACAATAAATGATTTGCATACTTTATCCATCTCATAAAATATTATATTTTAATCATCTACATCGTACATAATGCTATAAATGAAACCTATTTTTCTTGTAAAACAGCATGAAAAAAGCAGAATTATTAGTATGTCAGAATAGTGAGAGAAATCAGACAGCATTATGCCTTTACATAATCATCCCACTTCCCTGTTCAAGATATAATCACACTAGAACAATATCTAAATGACAACTACAGCAGCCTGGTGTGAAGAACTTCATATAACAGCACTTTCAAGTACAAAGAATTAGATCAAGAGAAAACTAAGAATGCAGAATAAAATCTCTCTTGCAAAATATACCTCCTCATACAGCTTTGAGAGCATCTCAGGACGAGAAACAATTAAGGCTGCTAAGCATTTGGCAGCAGCTCTTCGAACTTTCCAGCTCACATCCTCATCATCGGTGTATTCATTAGCACTTTCACTACAAGTTCATGAAATAATCAGAAATCAGTAAAAAGTGTCATTCATGAATGAATTATGAATTAGCAAACTCGGAAAAAAAGAACATACTCCTCCTCCTCCTCCTCTTGACTTTCATCATCAGTATCTTCCTCCATATTATCAGTAAAATTAGGATCATAACTAAGAAACTCCAGAGTAAGATGCAGAATTTCGTCACAGTAAAAAGAAATATCTCTAGGGCACCTAAGTAGAAAACTCTCCAGTGCCTGCAGTAAAAATCAACACAACACATATGCATGCATTGCAAATAGAGAACTATAGATTGGAAACCCAGAAGCATAAGATAATAACGGTTAAAATTAAAAAGACCACAAGAAAGAGGGCAGAGCTATAATACCTGCAAGCTGTACTCACGAAGCTCCTCATCATTCTCCGACGCACTTGTGCAGTAGTTAATTAAGAGTGGAACTGTGTCTCCAAGATGGGGACCGAAACGATAACCAACGGCGCGGCTAAAAACAGCAAAATTTCATGGTTTGTTACCAGGAGGCTTTTTCATCAAAACAACATAAATAAATAAGAACAATCAGAGCTTTGGAAGTTTCATAAAGTGGTGAAAATAATTGAGGAATTTTATTTCAGAAATACCCATAACGATTATCCTTCTAGTATAGGGTATTCCTTGGTATTAGTTCTTATTTTCTTGTTTTTCATTATACAAAATTGCATGCTTTTTATGCCGACATACTGAGATACTGGACTCCTTCAAACAAGAAGATGACAGAAAGACAGTAAAAAAGAGAGAATAAAAGAAAAGGCAAAAAAATAAAAGCAAGAGGAGGAGGACCAATCTAGAGGCCAAATACTAACTCAAATCAAAAGTCTCCTACAATTTTTACCACCCATTGTTGAGCATATAAACAAATTGTCATTCTACTAAATAGTTTTGGGGGGTGGGGGTGGGGGTGGGGTTTACAAATCGGAAAATTCATTATTATAAAAAGACACTTCCTTATTGCTAATTAACTGTTAATCATACAATAATTTGGATATCAGTTTGGGGGAGCCAGATAGAAAACAGTGGGGGTGTGAGGGGCTTAAAAACAAAAAGGCTTGCATTCTCCCCTTCCCCCATTCAGTGAGAGTCTCTCACTTCAGACACACTGAGGAAAGGTGATTTATGACATTCTGTTATTGTCTCAAAGCACATGGTCGGCACAGAGATAGAGTTTCATCTAGCTGCAGCATATTGTTTTATGGGCCCAGGCGGCTTGAAAGGGGGGCAATGGAAAAGTTGAAACTCTAATAGATGGAAAAATTAACTTTATGGAAGGGTATATCAGATGGGGAATTCCTTCAGATTCTGCAAACAGCTGATAGGCCGTTTGTCAAAACATCCAGCAAATCAAGCATAAGCAGGATTTAACCAAAGTATTAAAAGGAATGCCATTGGCACAAGAACCTTAGGGGAGGAAGCACAGAAGATACACAAATAAAACAATCAAAGAGGACAAGTATGCTTAAAATCTTACCTTAAAGCCCCTATCATCTGAATGTTTGTACGAATCATTTCAGGTTTGGCTCCCTTATTTTTCAAAAGCCGAACAACTTCAACTGTGGTCTTTGCCAACAAATCATCTGATAAGCTTGAAGCCAAAGAGGCTGAAAGGAAGAGAGAGTTAAATAAATCACAGTTTCATAACCATCCCAAAATTCCACCAATATAGACAGCTAGTCTCCAGGAAGACAAAACACTTGTTCACCATACTTGGTTACAGACAAGTAATCTCACCAATACATGAAACAGCCTTCTTTCTAACACTGGCTTGATTGGAACTCAGCTGAGGCAATAGAGCACCTAATAGCAGCTCATGATCTGATGCCATCAGGTTCCCAAATTTATGAAGAATATCACATAGAATATCGAGACATTCACATTTTACCTCAGTGCTCATTCCCTAGGGATAAAGCCAGAAAGGATCACCTCTTAAAAATTGGATAGAAATGCAAAAGTAATTAAACATGAAAATGAAAAGTCAATAGGGATTGGGAAATAAACATATTTTTACCATTAAAAAATGAGAAAGGGAAAAAAAGAAGATGCCAGCAATGTACAATAAAAAAAAATTGAAAACTTCTATTCTCTTCTTATTGTATGAGAGACCTTGGCAAATTGCTGAAATCTATAAACAAGCTGAATGAATGAGAATGGTGTGAAAAACAAAGAGGTGCAATCCACCAACACGATAAGAGTAAAAAGCAGCTGTAATTTATAATTATTTATCAGGTGAGACCTCTAGCAAAATCTTTATCAACAACCAAATTACATTAGACAAAAGAAGCTGCCTAGACAATCCACCCATGGAGTTTCCATGGAAATTTACAAAAAGTGGAATAAAAGATATTCTCATATTCACTCTTCCAAGAAATGTGCCGAATTGAATAAATTAAAATTCTGTTGTTTAATTGACAATTAATATTTCCATCATGTGATAAAATTAACTGAACAGTAAAATGAAAGTCATTTGTCCACATATTCTCAAACAAAAAGGGTGACATATTGTACCCACACACACAGCTCAATTTCTATATTGTTTTAACACTTACAAGCAGCATCCTCAACAGATGATTTTCAAAGTGTGTTCTTGATATTTTTCCAAATATTAGTCTGCTTCTAATCTATTTTTCAGGAAACAAATATACCACCACTGAACTGTCTGAATCAGCCCCATGGGAGAATCGATGAACCACAAATAGCAGACATATCATTTGCAGGTTGATTTAAATTGGGTAAAGGTAAACTAAGCTTTTATAGTGGGTTGATTTGAAACAGATAAATCACTTACATTTGAAAAACAATTCACTTTTACAGTGGGGTATCCATTGCAGAAAATTACCAGAGCCAAAAGTCACAGTAGTACTTCTTAAGTTCTTTTCTCAAATAACTCAGGCAAGAAACTACAGCTCAATTGTTATGGAAAACATCCCTAATGGCTACTCTTAGTGGTATACCCAAAAAGGCAGCCTTTTACTATTTAAAGTTCACAGCTACGTAGTGATCAAGCAGCTGAATCATGTACCATTGGTTTTTCCCAGGCCGAGAACAAATTCTTTATTCAGAGTTTTGTGAGTGGTTGAGATTACTTATTGCTTCTAATCCGCTATACAAATGATTGAATGAACTCAATTTCTCATATATGACTCCTACACATGCATATCACCCCATACTCATATTTCCTAGTAGTTCGTGAATGTAGCAACAGTGCATTCCTCATACCCTTGCCATATTTTCTACTCCACCAAACATTCTCATGAATCAGTAATAAAAATAAATATTGGTAACTCACAACGCCAGTTATCCCCTTTATCAACTTTGGAGAGACCGAAATAAGAACAGATTGTGCAACAGATGAGGTAGGGACTTCAGAGATAATTGTCTTCAAAGCTATGCTTGCAATGTCGCGATGCTGGTCTTTCCCATTAAGCAACTTATCACAGAGCTTATCAGCCATCCCCAAAACTTCTGCCTCGCGGATTTTCTTCACCAATGGAGCAAGACTGATGTCACATTAAAGCAACAATTAAGAACCAAGAAATGAGCAGTGTACTTACATCAAGCTACAGTGAAATTCAAGTGTAACTACCTCAAGCTACTGATCAACGAACTTCCCAGTGAGTTGTGAATTGATTAATGTTGCAATTATTTTCTTGTCATTACATATACTAAAATCCCCCGAACAGAATGTAACGAAACATTGAATGACAAATTGTGCAAAAAGAGACAATAGGCCACCAAGTGGGAACCCATCTGTGCTTTCAATTGAACATAACTAATAAAATCAGAAAATATAAGGGATGCACAATCACATAGAACGGAAGTTAACCAAACAGAATTAAACAAAATCAACAGCAAAGGATGGAATGATGTAGCCTTAAAGGAAACCATGAATCGACTTTCATCTATACCATTGAAATACGGTCCACACTCCACATTATAAACTTTGTTTTTCTGTACACAGCCTCCCAGTTTCAGCAAAAAAAAAATGTTCTCCTCGACTTTAAAATTAAATAGAACTCAACTCACTCAAGAAAGCCTCCTCTTAATTGCTCAGGATTGGAAATACACAAATTGTATTTCCCAATTTCATCGCAATATTTTAATGCATCTTGCGGCAAATGAATGAGGTATACAGTGAACAGCTTTTCCTAAAATAGAACTTATGTTAGATCGAAATATAAAAATAGTTCCTCCTTTGATTTGATCCTGAAGCCCTGAATTCTGTTATTTATCCATTCCTCCTTTTTCCATACCACTATTGGTGACCGGATATAACTCAATTCAACTCATTAAAAGCCTTATTTCAACATTTTGAGATAAGCTCCATGAATCTTGTTTCACCATTGCACTTTATCAAAGGTCATACCGATGTAGGACAGCCATGCGAAATCAAATTTGGGACTGTTTAGAGACTGTGAACAGTAATATTGGCTAGAAATCACTCCTAGGGTTCCTTAGGCATCACACCTAGGGGTTAGAATTGCATCACACAACTCAAGAAGCACATTATTACTGAAATTTCTCTCTTTTATTAAAACTATCACTAACTATATATAAAGTTCTAAGTACTCCTAATCCCAAAATATTAGGATTCCAAAATCTCTAAAACTCCAAAACCTCTAGATCACTAAACATTAGAAGACTAAAACTAAAACAAACTAGAACTAAAACTCTAGCATATCCAATACTAGAGTTTGACCAATTCCAAAAATTCTAGAAATTACAAAAATAACCTTGAGTCTAAAAACTATTAAAAGGACATATAAAATACTAATATTAGCAAATTGACTGAAACTAACTTAAAATAAGACTCAAAATACAATAATGCAAGGTTCCATATGGATCTTTGTCTTAATGGAAAATCAATTCCATTATTTTTCACATCTTCAAACTTGCATTTCCTTGAGCATCTTATGGATTGCATCATTCTCGAAAAAATTCGAACTCGAGTTTTAAAGTATTGCAGTATGAGAGTCCACAAGTTTTGAATTTGTATCCTCCTTTTCTTGATGAATAAGGAAATAAAGAAAAATTGGAGATCAATCTTCTCAATTTGGTCGTTAAACTTCTCTAGAATCATAAAATCAATTGGTGGAGCAAAGTGGATAGAAAGAAGCATTGATGACTCTTCATGCTCACTTAGATCCTTGGAAGATGCAAACAAATCAAGCTCTCTGGATATCGTTGTTGCTAGTCGAAAGTCATGAATGGGAACAATTTCACCGAGCAACTCATTTGGTACTATTTCAGAGCTTTTAGATAGTAACTTATTCATCTATAAAGAAAAATCTGATTCAATACTAGTTGCTGGTTTTTCCATCTTGTTAGGCTCCACAACAAAAAAAATTGTTTGGATATTCACTTTTTACCTTGGTCTCTGGACAACTAAATAGTGGAGTTGCTTGGGATTGTGTTGGTTCTTCTACTTGATCTCCTCCCTCATGAATTATTGGGTCCCTTGTTGCTTTGGACTGCTTTTGATGCACCTTCTCTAGTTACACATTAGAATACAAATAACTTTGAGTTTTAGCCCTTGGGGAAAAAAAACCCTTGATGTACATGCTTGGTAAAGAAAATATAGGTACATCTTCGTACCAAGTGCCACTTGAAATGCATACTCTATGTTGTATAGTAGCAGCCCAAATAATTCTGCCTTTATATTTCGACTTTGCAACATCAATTCTTCAAATCTTTTAATATACTCTTTTATAGATAGGTTGCCTTGTTGTAGCTCGTCAAGTTGTTTGCAAAACTTGCCATAATAATATGAAGGCACATACTTCTCCTAAAGTTTAGCTTTCATATCTCGTCATGTGTTGATTCAGAGCAATCCCAATCTTCTTGAATATCCTTCAACACCAACCTACCAAATTTTTGTCAAGCCTACAGGTTTTATCTTGGCAAACCTTATTCTCCGCTCGTCCAAAAAATTATACTTGATAAAATATTCCTCAATAGAAATAAGTCAACACGAAATTATTGTAATATCATTCTTTCCATTAATCTTGTATCTCCATCCTCATATGTCAATAGTTAAGTTGTACAACATAGGATTTTTCGGCTCTGATACCAAATTGATATAGGACAACTATACGAAATCAAATTGGGGTGGTTTAGGGACTGTGAACAGTAATAGGACTTTGAACAGCTATGAAGCACAAATACTTCAAAAAGGTCATAGTGTCGATATCGGATACTTTCTGAATACAAATACGCATCTGATACAGCCGAATACATATCCAATACGGCTGAAAAATATCCTAGAATTTTTTTTTAAAAATATTGAATTTCGGATACGTTAGGATATGCACGGGGATACGTCGAGATATTACTTAAATTTTTAAAAAAGAACAAGGGTACCGGCGCAAATATGTTGGGCCCTTGCAAAAAAAAAAAAAAGAAAAACCCTAACCCTTAATTCGACAAAACCCCCCTCACTAAGTCAATAGCCTGTGAAGCTTTGACTCTCCTCTCTGTTGTCTAGTGTCTTGGGATTATCGGGTAAGCTCCCTCCTCTCTTTCTCCTCTATTTTGTCTTTTACCAGTGATTAACACTTTTTTTGCAATTAGGATTTGCAAAACAAACTTTGGGACCTTGAATTAGGGTGTGCTTTGAAGCTTTGACTCTCCTCTCTGTTGTCTAGTGTCCTGGTATCATCAGGTAAGCTCTCTCCTCTCTCTCTCTAGGCCTCTCTCTCCTCTATTTTGCCTTTTACCAGATATTAACACTTTTTTTAAATTAAGATTTGCAAAACAAACTTTGGGGCCTTGAATTAGGGTGTGCAATTAGGAGTTTTTTTTTTTTCGAGTAGTCTAGAGAACAAATTACACATTTAGGCATATAGCTGATCAACATCACTAATAAATTTACACAATAATGTACATAAGCAGTTGGCACACTACACATAGTCTTTTTTTTTTTTTTGTGAGCAGTCTAGAGAACAAATTAAACATACAGCTGATCAACACAATCGCTTTGAACTGCTGTTACTACTTGCAAATATTTTTTTGATTGTGTTGGTTGTTGGGTGTTGAATTTTCTTGGATACTCCGTTGATAAATGTGTGATTGGGTTTGTTGTTTGGTGTTGAATTTTTTTCATTGTGTTGGTTTTGAGTGTTGAATTTTTCTTAGCTGATAGATGTGTGATTCACTTTATAAATCATAATTATTACATTAAATATAATAATAAAATTTAAAAATATATATATTACGGACGTATCCTAACCGTACCCGTATCCCTTTTTTTAGGTTTTATCGTATCGCTGTATCTGTTGCTTTCCTTAGACATCACACTTAGGGGTTAGAATTGCATCACATAACCAAGAAGCACATAATTACTTAAATTTCTAAAATTTCTCTCTCTATTATATGAAAAATATCACTAACTATATATAGAATTCTAAATACTCCCAAGTCCTAATCCCAAAAAATTAGGATTTCAACGTCTCGAGGACTCCAAAAACTCTAAATCACTAAACATTAGAAGACTAAAACAAACTAGAACTAAGACTCTAAATTCTAACATATCCAATACTAAAGTTGATGATCCACAGATCAGACTATGACCCATTCCAAAAATTCTAGAAATTACAAAAATACCCTTGAGTCTAAAAACTATTAAAATGACATATAAAATATTAATACTAGTAAATTAACTGAAATTAAGTTAAAATAGAACTCAAAATACAATAATACAAAGTTTCATATGATCTTTGTCAGGACAGAAAGCCAATTTCATTGTTTTTCACATAATCAAACTTGTGTTTCCTTGAGTATATTATGGATTGCATCACATACTTTACGTTAAACATACATTATCTTATCTTTTTTTAGTATTTCATTCCAAGTTAATTTTTTAGTCTACCTCCACCCTTAAATTCCAATCAATGACTATCACAGCAGTCTTTCTCACCGATGCATTGGCAGGCCATTTATAACTATGTTCAAACCATCTAAGTTGATTCTCTCTTCATTTATCTCTTTTATATGTCCTATCTTTACTTTTTTTTTTACGGATATTTTCATTGACTTTAGCTAATATAGCAATAAAAGCTATGATTGTCAATCGAGTAGATGATTTTGGGGTAGCTCCAGGGAATTCGGGTTGTTTTACTCTCTTTCTAGCATAACACTTATGAACCATTTTTGCTTGTGCTAGTGTCCCCTAAAAGTCTTGGGAAAAACAATCTTCACAGTATACGACCAACGCCCATCCCTAAAGTCTTACACTAGGATCTAAGTCCTTCAAATACTTAAGAAACTAAAGCAGTCTTACAAGTAAACTGGAAAAAAACCATCTCATTTTAAATGATTGCACAACTCAAATGCAAAAGTATTGTGTTAAAGATGTTACTTCCCCTAAAATTCTTGTGTTCATTGTTGCAGCTTCATTCTTAGTCGTTTTTGAACCTTTAACCATACATAGCTAACAAAACATTATAACAGTACCTAAGAAATGGTGTATACAATCATTGTGTAACAGAAACATTGGATTCAATAATAAAAACTATGACCCAAAAAAAACAGCAATGACTAATAAAAGAACTTCTAAACTAACAAATCATGCAATGAAGGGAGACAGCCAATGACCGAAAAGCAGCACAAAAAAATAAAATAGCTCCTAAAGAAGTTTCACAATTAGATAACATGGAGGAAAGGGAATCAGAAGAAAAGGCCCCACCACTTTACAGCTAACCCAGAAACATCACCAGCTGCATCATCAAGCTGCTGAATTATAATATTCGACAACTTCGACTCAAGATCGGTATCCAGTTTAAACCCCTCTTTGTTCAACTCATTCAGCAAATCAGAGGTTGCCATATATCTGTAATCCTTATCCTTCCCCGTCATCTGCACAATGAACTCATAATTCAACATGCAATGAAAACAATCACCCTCCAGAACAAAATAAGAACAATTAAGGAGAAAGGACTTTCAACGTGACCAGTTCATTACCATAATTTACTAATGTTGTACCTTTTCAATAATACCAGTTATGGTTAAATTGGCCATCTCGAGGAAATACTAGGAAATAGCTTCCTGCTTAGAATTCACCAGAGGGAAGCACTTTGTTACATCAATATCTGAGCAAGAGAAAAAAAAATAAAAATTAAATTAAAAAAAGTCGATGAGAACAATATTTACAATCAATTATTTCTAACCACCACAGCGTTCATTGAAAATAAAATTTCGTTACAAAAATGAGGAGACAAGAAAGGCCAATTGCAACAGTGAAATGCAATCTTTGTCATGTAGATTAGATGTCATTAGTGATGAAGTAAGGCTTTCTTCAATTTACATTGGTAGAAAGATGGAAAAATGCATGTCACCACATTATGCAGAAATGTACCTCCAAAGCATCAAGGACTGAACCCCTAGTTCCCCTGAAAAGATAAGCAAACCACAAACAAATATATGGGCATAACAATGCAAGACTTCACTATAAATCAAGCCCAAAAAATAATATTCTCTGGTCCATCCAACTAAAAATCAGTAAAGTACACACCAAAAAAGCAATCCATTAAAGTGCATTTCCAACACCCAAAAAAAAACTAATAATATCCGACTTAATAGCCTAGCCTAAATACAATTACTTATTTGACCATCTGATAGAAAAAAATTTCAAAAACCCTAGACAGTCCATTGATACAAATGGAAAAACAAATCACAACAGAACAAAATTTAGTTAGATTACAAAGCAAAACCCTAGACGACACATTGGAACAATCTAACTAACAGCATGAATTGAACACAGGATTAAAGACATCGGATAGGAAATAGAGATTACCCGGGAGATACTATAGCAATCGACAACGCGCTTTCTATCTTTCTCTCTCTATCTCATTCAGATGTTCGATCTGTTATTCTTCTTAAACCCTACGTATGGGTATGAATCGAAAGAAAAAGCCAGAGGCGTGAGCAACTTTTAAGAAGCTCTCTCGGTCTCTATGAGCAGTCTGTGGACTGGGAGTTCTACATACAATACAACGACTCTCAACTCTTTGGCCACGCTGTTTTAAGAGTCACTTACTCAGACCGAGTGGATGGATTGAGTGGTTAATTCGGATTTAATTTATTTTTTGAAAATTTAAATTGAATTTTAGTTGAATTTGGATTTAGAGTAATGTTATTTGGATTTAATCCAAATCATTCGACCATGTATTGTCAATAATTTATTTTTTGAACTTGGATTAAACTTTAATTCCAAAATTTCCATAATTTCAACTTGGATTTCATTCTCGAGTATATAATTTTAGATAATATTTAAGTAAGTTAAAATTTAACTCAAGTTAAAATTAAGTTCAATGGTCTTGTTATGCAATTCGAGAAATCTATTACCAAAATACTGCACTTTTCAAACAAATTTACTAAAATACGACAGTTTTGCACTTATTTACTAAATTACAGTTTGACGACGCATCCAAAACAGAACAAATGAAGGGTCAAACTCCAAAGACCCGTTCAGGCGCAGGAGTTGGATTCAATAATTCCGCTTTTAATAGAAAGCGGATTCAATAACCCCGCTTTTGTTAAAAAAGCAGATTCAACAACCCCGCTTTTATGAGAAAATAAAATTTTTGGCCAATGAGAAAAACGTGTTTTATAAACATGCTTTTTATGTTTTTTGTGAAAAACGTGTTTATTAAACTCGCTTGTCACGGTCTTCGACTTTCACTGCTCTGTTGGTGACGACTTCCATGGATTCTTTTCCAGTGAACCTTAGCCAATAATGGGTCGGTTTGAAAGCTATTATATAGAGGGTTTTTCTGTTCTTTTGAGAACAAAGAAGACAACTCTTCCTCTTCCCACAACAAATCATGTTCTTGCAACAATGGAGATTTGGGGCTTATACAGTCACTGTAATAGCTCTCTTCTTCTTCTTCTTCCTCAGAACCATTCTCTCTCACTTCCTCCCAATGTTCTTCTTCACAATACAAAGCATCCCAAGAGCAGTGAAGGGTTTTGTTCTTGAGCCATCTTCTTCAAAAAGCACCAAACACTAGTGCAAAACAACGTTGAACAACCACCACCACCGTGAATCAACCAAACCCAGCACTATGAAGCACCAAACACTTCCACCACCCAACCCAATTGTGTTGATCGATCAAATCATGGTTGGTTTTGAAAGATTTTGAGGGTTTTTAGAGATGAATTTTAGTAAAGAATGAGGAAAAATGGCATAGAGGATTGTAAGCGAGGGAGACCAATAGAAAGCGTATTTAATAAATACGCTTTCTTCAATGTCCACATTTTTTTTTTTTAAAAAAGGGGTCAAAAGCGGGGTTGTTGAATCCACTTTTTAACAAAAGCGGGGTTATTGAATCCGCTTTTTATTAAAAACGGAATTATTGAATCCGTTTTCAAAAATTGTCGTAGTTTGGTAAATAAATTCAAAAGTGCTGTATTTTGGTAAATTTGTTTGAAAAGTGCAATACTTTGGTAAATTTGTTTGAAAAGTGCAATACTTTGGTAATAGGTTTTCAATTCGAGCTACAATTGAAGTTGACTTGGGTTTAACTTCGGTTGCAGCCAAATTCATTAATCCAAATTAGGTTTAAATTGAGTTTCAAAAATTCAGACGTAGTCATGGTAGAATTTAAAGACGATTGAAACTTTTTTGGCTTACAAACCCAAGGGGTAGTCTAGTCGAAATAAGAATGAGCCATAAATTGAGACATCGTAAGTTTGAAATTAGCAAATCATTTTGAGTTAAATCATGAGGAATATGCCTCTCATGAATTTTCTAGTGTCAGTGTGGATAGCCTGATTTTGACTGAACTATAAATGACATTAATCGAAATGCTCGTAAGCTAGTCGGGACACTAAGATTTTCGTTGTTTCAGGATAAAAATGCCCCAAAATAAGATTTTTTTTTAAAAAAAATTATATCACTTAAAATTCAAAAATGCTGGTTTTAAAAAATCGTCTGGTCCACCAATTTTCTCTAAAATTGGCCGATTTTGCGGTTTATAGACGATTTTGTTGTGCAAATGATTTAATTAATAAATTGAACTGATTTAAGGCCCTGTTTATCGGTTCACTAAGTTGAACTGTCGGTCCATTATGTTCTTATAACGAACCTGATTGGAAATATTTTTTATGGAGAGAGTAATTGAGAATAATAAAACTTATGAAACGAAAAAAAATCCTTGTTTAAATTGGGGCATTGCATTGTTTTATAGTCATTTCAAAATTATTGGTGAATCATTGCCTACTGTATTTCTAGAATTACCAAATTCATAGTGAGCTTTTTGGGAGATAATATCATTATTTTTAAATCAACCGATAATTAATTAATCACACATTTTTTGGACTCATGTTATAGCATAAACAAAGAATTTTAGTTGTAATAATTTCTCTTGGAAGCCCAAGTTTAGAATCCTAGGGCACATTTGCTTGGGATTAATGGATAAAATTCGATTAAATTAATCTATTTGTCATTTCATACAAAGATTAGACCAAGTCACAATTTTCGATATTAAAGATCTATATAATAAAATATATAAAAAGTTGAATTGTATTCCCTATACATTTCTCTCCTCCCCAAACCATCACATCACTCATTTTTATTACATGTTCAATCATTTAATATTTGATTAATTTGTAGTTTAACATAATTTTGATTTCAGATATATAATATACATGATAATATACATATAATAAGAAAATTTTATCAAATTACGTATTTTTGAGAAATTTTGTCAATATTTATAAAAAAATAATAGGTAAAAATAAGTTTGGAATGATGTTATCAAATAAATGAAAGAAAGAAAGAAAAATTATTATTTAATATAGTAAGATCGATTTTTTGGAACTCAAATTTTATGTTCTATCATGCCTTTAGGCACGAGGTATGACTAGTATTTTAATACTAGCCCAATGTTAAAGTGTCATCTAATAATATTTCTAACAGATTATGTAAAACTCCAAAACAACTAAAATTTAGCTAATTAAAAACAAAAATTATACTCCAACAAAATATGTTCACGTGCTTGAAAATAATTTTTTACTACAGTGATACTCTAAATATAGAACATCATCATTGTAGTAACTTGTATAAATATTTTATAATTTTGTCTCTCTCCTATGTTATTTCTCACTTCTCTTGTTTACTATTTGTCTTTCCCTCCATTCTCTCTATCTCTCTCTTCCTCCAATAGTCCAAACAAAGGTACAAAATATATGAAATAATATTTAATAGAAGTAGTTAAAATATAGAAAATTTGTTTTATTGGGACATAGAAAGAGGACATAAAATAGGGACTTAATGATATGGCATCTAAATTGGATTTGCCACATCATTAAAATTTCTCCAACTAGTTTAATCCTATTTTTACTCTTCCTTATCTCACTCCTCTTGATCTCCAACGTTGGTTGGTCTCCTCCTACCATTACCTTGATTTTGTCTTCTACCAAACAGCAACAGAGTCCTCTCTCCATTTAAGACACTCTTCGTCTTAGCACTCAAGGAACCCAATCAATACCAATACATTGTCTTTGAACCTGCAGTGATCTAGATAGATGCTGAAAACCAAGTCGCCATGAATCTACATCCACATCTTTAGCGGTTCATTCAAGGAACCCAATTAATACCAACACACCGTCTTTGGCAACTCACCCCATTCAGTGAAGAAAAGAATTTTTATGTGTAACAGAATTATCTCAGGCCAGAGAACTAAGAGACGTCTCTCTCTCTAGCTTCAATTGATGGACACAAATTAAACAAGCCTATTTTTACAATTTACAAGATCAAGCCATGGAATAAGAACTTTGATTGACTTTGATTTTTGAGGGTTTTGCCAAAGGCATTTAATTTTGATCACAATAAACAAGATTTTTTTGGGTTAAATTGTACCAGTTTTTTGAAATGGTGAAAATATGTCAGTGCAATCTCCCATTTGGGCCTTCACTTTCCTTGGTCCTCATCACATGTTCTTTCATATTTCCTACGGTTTTATGCACAAGTTTTGTTTATTTAAAAAGGTAAGTGATGCTCTTTTTTATCGAAATTTCTCAAGAAATGTAGATTTCTTGTCTTACTTCATCCCGATTCTCAATCAAAACTTCACTTGTTTTGCTTGGAAATGGTTGTATGTAGTCCTTGGATTTGAGTTAATTGATTTGGAGATTTTTGCCGTTAAAAATTGTATGCAATCAGCTTTACAGAATTATACATGTAAGAATTGAGAACAATTCAGAGATATACGTGTGAAAACAAAATTAGGTTGCTACTGTTTTTTTAAAATTATGTTATTTTATTTTCCATGTTTGAACTTGTAATATGTATGATCCACTTAACTTTGAATGAGCACTTTGTTTAGAGACAAGATGGGAACCAATTTCGACAAAAAATAACAACTATTACATTCCAAATTGTACAATAATTTATTCAATTCACATACACTACAAAGCTACTTAGATTCATTTGGTTTGTACTTCCATAATCTATTCAATCCCCATACACTACAAAGCTACTTGGATTCGTTTTGTTTGTACTTCCATAACAACAATACAAAACTTTAAGGAGAAAAATATTTCCTGCCCAAAGGCAGATAACCAAACCATATGAGGACAAGTAGGGGGGTGTCAAAAGTGCAGGTTAAACGGGTGACAGGTGAAAAACATGTAAACCCGTACACGACACATTTAATAAATCGGTAAAAAATTGAAACACGAGCACGAACCGTTTAATAAATGAGTAACAAATATGACTCGTTTAACACATCTAATTTTAAATGAGTCGGGTTGGGTTGGGTCAGGTTAACACAGTAAACAATTCGTTTGACTCATTTACTTGTTTACCACCCATTTGATCCATTTAACACGGTAAACCACCCGTTTAACCATTCATCTGTTTATTTAAAAATATTATGTAACTTTATAAAACTAACAAACTAACACAATAAATGTGATATTTAGAGTTATCATACCACACCAT